GGCCAGGAAGCCAAGCCATCCAGCTGCCATCAGGCCTGCCTGCAGTATCTGCTGAGTTAGGTGAATCCCTCACCTGTAGCGACTCCATCTGGGCCCACACTCTAGGTTTTAAGGCCCTTCTCAGCAGCCCTCCTACTCGTCATGGCCCAGAGTGTGTGGGGGTTCCGCAGGGATGCAGAGGTGCCCTTATTGCTCCCCTTCTACTTGACCAACTGCCAGTGATGGTAGGGCATGGGCCTGACGCTCCAGCGCCAGCCATCTTCAGGGCTCCCAAGCAGGATACCAGGCTTTTCCCATGGCACTCTTATTGGCTTCAAGTCTTCAGAGTCCAGGCAGGTCTCTTTAAAACATGATACTCCAAAGTTTTTGGTTAATAAAACCACTATTAGGAACCAATCTTATTGAATATATGCAAAGAAATGTATTGCCATGATTTATTAAGCATTGCCAAATTTCAGAGGAATTATATAAGGAGAAAAATATACTGACCTGTTTTAAGATTTTCTGATTTTCCTTGTCAGTCCTTTTCATGGACTCTTCAGAGTAATATATCTTCAAATGGCAAAAAGAAATTTACAATATGTCTATAGTCAAATAGATAGCTACATCTGTTCCTGTAATAGGGCTCCCCTTACTTGACTTGTTCTCTTGGAACGGACTAAGGGAGCTTTATTTCTTTATAGGGTCTCATATGTCACAGGACCTCACAGGGTCTGTAATTCTTGTAACAGAGGGCTAGTACTCACCACCTCACTACTTCCCTCTGTTCCAAACAGGCCTTCCCCAGTTTCCTACAGTTGAGGTTTGTGCCACCCCTGACATGGGCATGGTCATACAGGCCTGCAAGACAGTATACAGGCTGCCAACTGTCTCTCAATAGAGACCAAAACCTGATGGGTATTCTTCTTTGCCCAATTGGGCACCTGCCCTTTTGACAACTGCATTCAAATCTGTAAGAGAATTAAGGTTAATGCAACATATCAACATAATGAGGTACAATATGGGCACTGTGGCTACTTCTGGCAGCCAAATTTTCTGCTACCATACATGACACATGGTAGGGCTACACAAACATCTTAGGGAGGTGACTAAAGTCTATTCTTGACCTTCCCACACAAGGCAAAATTGTCCTTGTCTCTCTGGAGCCATGTCCATGAAGACGCAGTCACCATCTAAGTCTATTATACAGTTTTCTGCAGGCCACTTTCAGGGCTGTGCACTGTGGCCAGTTCTTCTTTCTAGCCACAAACACAGTCTGTCCAATTTCCCTAAAATATATTCTGGCACAGGAGAAAGTTGTTTTGCTATACGCAGGCAGCTTAACCCCTATACAACTGGGCTTGGACCTCTGCCTAGCAAACTGCAGTCTGTAAGTTCAATATGCAGCCTCCGGTCCTCCTAACCCAACGGGGTCTCAGCCAGTCTCTGAGTCAGACTCCTCCTCTCTTGGAGAATTTCAAAGTCCTGATGGCTCCCGGGTCCAGGGAGAGTGCTCTTTTCTTTGCCCTTTTGTTAACCCTGCTATTAGTTACAGGGCCCTGCTATCCTTGTCTTCCCATCAGTCCCCTTTGTGGCAGAGCAGCTACCAGGCCTCTCCCAAGGGAGTGCACTGGAAGGGGTATCAGCCTCTCCTCTTCCAGCAGCAATAGGTACTGAACCCTTTCAGCACATTTGCAAACAGGGACCTTTTACTAGCTCTGGCTGCAGCTTTCATAGATCCTGGGCTCACTGCTCTATTCCTGGGGCTGCAGGAAGGCTAGTAGCAGTCACTGGCTTCTGTTTTAACTACTGTAGCCAGCAAGCTAAAAGCCCAAGTCTTGTATTGCTTGTTGTAAAACACTCATTACTCATTGGGCGGCAGTGGGGCAGCTCTAGTGTCAGGTAAATTTCTGCTGTCCCCCACTTTTCTCGATGCGGCGGCTTCTTCCAGGGCCATTGCAGGCAGCTTGGGCATCCAATGCCCCCCTCTTCGACCTGGCTTTCAGGAACTGAGTCTGCCTAGCAACCAGTTCTAAATCACCAGGGCAGCTGCGGACTTCAGCTCTGTTTCTCCTTCACTTGGCTCCTGGGAGTTTAATTGTTGTTGTTTTTTTAATGTATTAGAATTCTTTATTCTTAGAAACCTCAATTCTTTAATGATTACCAAAAGTGAACAGTCAGAATTTTAGATTAATATTTATGAACACATTTTAAATGTACTTTTACTTTCAAGAAAATATACCTAGACCTTCTGTGATAAAACTAAGAACAGGTAAATTGAAACTTGTCTAGTACAAACGGCTATATTTTTCCTTATGTAATTTCAAGTATTTTGTATCAGTCTAATTTAGTATTGGAAGGGTTAAAAAGAATAAACCGGGGCAGAAAAAGATTAATTGTGCTCGCAGAAAACTTGCAACCTTGAATCTAGCAAAGTTCTGATAAGGCACCTGGTGGTAGGCTACGGACAAGACCCCTACGCCTGCAGAGTGGTCCGCAGCCAGTAAAATCAACAAAAACCTATCTCTCCCTGCTTCATAATTAACTGCTGACACCCCCATACCATCTCTCTGCATTAACCATTTACTCTGTCCTGAAATAAGGCAAATGGCCTGAGATCCTGTATATTTAGGCTTTTACATTTAAAGATACTTTCTCTCTGTAACAGTTGCTTTCCCTTATAGATTTTTCCTCTTTAAGCCCTAGAGGATCTTAAATCCTCATCCTTTACTACTCTTGATCTCTCGACCAACCCCCCTGTCCCCCAGTCCAGTTTTTTGTCTCCCTTTCCTATTGTGAGTCAGAGGAAGACAATTCCTACAGAGGGGAGTTTCAGAGAAAACCACAGACTGCCGCTGTAGCAGTCCTACCTCCCGGAGGCTGGGGTCGTACCTGTGGAGAAAAATGACTCTTAGTCGGCCTGGAAAATTAGCGGATGAGGATAAGGGTGTGTAGGGAGATTTCTTGCAGACTGAAAGCTCTGAAGGGCCTCCTGAAAGAAAAGATCTTTAATCCAGTTACAGATGCTGTCAGAATCAGGATGAGGGAGGAAGGGAAAGACCAGGTTATATCCTCTATGAGGATCCTAGTAAATAACTGAAAACGACAAGTCAAACAAAACACACAACCACGAAGACAACAGACCGCACAAGACACACAACCAGGGTTAACGGGGTCCATAGACAGTTAATAATAACTTCAGCCTTAGTTCCACCTCAGGTGACTCATGTTGGACTATGATGCCACAGGCAGAGACAGGGCCTGCAAATTTCTCCGCCCTGCAGAGCTGTAAGCCCTGCCCCTGGAAGTCTCCATCCACCAAAAGAGATAAGAAAACCATAAATAACAAGTTCTTTGTTCTTTGAAATTTACTACTTGTTAACACATTGTTTGCAGGTAGTTTTTATCACAAGCTAACAGGTGGCGTGGGCCATTTTTGCTAATTTTTTGCGCAAATGGCAACGTTCAGTAAAATTACGATAACTTTAGTTTTACTTTTTTTTTTTCAATGAAACTTTTTGTGATTTACTATAAAATGTATACTGAATTATTTTTCTTAGAATCCCACTGAATGCGTGGCGAGGCAGAGAATTGTGTGAAGGGATGACTCTACGCAGTTGAATAGGTTACCGTTATACCTGGAAGTACATACATAATTCACCATTGTATGTGTTAGAGACCCAAATTTTGTCCTTTGGAATTCGTATATCTGCATGTTAGCATCCCTTTAGAGCAATAAAAAAGTATAAAAATAAACGTATTTATACGTTGCCCGCATTCTACCGCTAGGCTATAAAAAACGTATTAATACGTGTCCCGCACTCTACTACCAGTCAACGTAAAACGTATAAATACTTTTCCCGCATACAATGTGTTAATTTGCTAAGCAAATAGTTAACTTGAAAAGACTTCTCTCTTGCTTTTCTTTACAAGCAATCTCAGAACCAAGCAATCTTAGAACCTAGCCAGCTTTGTTTTAGCCTTTAAATCTACCCCAGAACTTCAAAATTTCAATTTAATACAGCAAATTTACAAATCAGAGCAAACTGAAACCCTTACTTATACAAACATAGACAGAAATTTTTATTAGCTAAGTGGGCTAATTCCCTCTCTGATAGAGAGAAAAAGACTCAGAAAAATAAATCTCGCAGCTGCTAGAGACTTTGGCAGACCATCACAGGGTCCAGCCCAAATGTTTAGCCAGACGAATCAACAGAAATGCAGAATAAATCAAAGTAGCTTTCGCTTCACACAGACCAGTTGATGAGCAGCCCAGACAGACAAACACCCGTACTCACACTCTCTCAGGAGACTAGCCCAACTGTAGCTGAGCAGGTAAACGAAGCAATGCCCAACTCCCCAGACGGGCGTGGGGGCACTCCTGGCACCCATGCGCCAGAACAGAATTCTCGACCAACGTTTTGGTGAGAACCTACCGGAGGAGTTAAGACTGCATCTAGTCCCCCTTCTTGGTAGCAGTTGGCTGGTCCCACACCAACAAACAGCAAAGTGAACTCATAATTCCTTCATCGAATCTGAATCCACTCACCTCCGGAGTCCCACATTTATATACCAGACCGCACAAGTTTTTACTTCTACCAGATATTTAGCCAGCGTTTAAACAATCCACCTAATTCCTGATTAATTTGCCTGAGGAAGTCCTTGACATTCAGGGAGGTGATCAAGCTCCCCCTTCCACTCAGTTGGAGTGGGCCTGACTAACTGGGGCCCCTATCTTACCAATTCTGTTGACAGGTCCAGAGGTGTCCATCCACTCTCTCCAGATGCCGGCTGGGTCCTGGGCTGAGGTCCAGGGGCGCCCAGAGTCCCCCAGTTCAATTCTGCTAAATCAGCAGGGCGGCGCCTCCCGGAGGCCTGTCCGGCTACCCCAGTCCTGAAACCCCGTCCACACCAGAGGCCAAAAGGTCACGTATGGGTTGCTTTTCCCAGAATGTCAGGGAACCAATAATGTTACAGAAAAACCGGAGAAGAACCAAGCAACGCTTAGAGAGATGGAGTTACATTTATTACGCGCGGGCCCAGAGGAAAAGGTCTCTCAAATTCTGGGTGAAATCACACAGGAAGTTTCCTGTATTTATACTATCTTACCCTCTTGGTCTCCCCAATATGGGTTTTTTCCGGTTCCCTTTACAAGTTCTTAAAGGGCCCTATGTGCTGATGCTTTGAGACCTCAAACAAAGGCTTGGCCTGAGGCCAGCAATGATAACTTCGTCTGGGGAAGGTCTAATGGCCTCTCTGAAATGGGAGTAGTCTTATTTTCCTTATTATTTAAGCCAGCAAGCATCTACAGAAGCCAGAAATAGCAGGGTTAAAATTTCAAACAGCAGTTTTTATAGAAGATGGATGCTTCATTTTAATGGCTGTTAAAAATCATTTTCAAAACTAAATATAGTCCATCAACAAACTCCCAGACTAGGAACTATTATGTAGACTCATATGGTGTCATCCGTTGCACTGATTCCCAAAACAGACGCCGGGTCCTAACACAGGGGAGGCCAGCAGTGGCCCCTGGGATTATATAGAAAAGCTCTCCAGCTCCTGGTGTTGAGTCAGGCAGCGTGTTGAGCTCTGGGTTGTATCTTTCCAACCTGCAGAAGAAACGAAGTTCAGACACTCCCACTAGGAGATCCCCATAACAACTCTGTGGGGTATGAATTGTTAACCCCATTTTACAGATTAAGAAAATGAAGCTCAGAATGACTGACTGGAGTACAGGAGGGGCTTGAATCCAATTCTTTTGGCTCCAAGTCTAGTGTTGTTAACCATGCTTCCTCCTGACTCCCCCTAGATTGCCTGGGGCCACACAGCGTCCTCTGCAACTCTGGACTGTCCAGGTGGCTTTAATGTGGAGCTGCTGTCAAAATGCCAGGAAGCACAGCAGGCACCCAGCCTCCCCTCCCTTGGGACCAATGGCAACATTATTATTGGGCCACAGGTAGAAGCTTGGGTGCAGGAGGAGGCTAAGGGGGAAAGAGTGGGGTGCTCTCGCGCCTTACTTTCTATGGGTACAAATGGGAAGTAGGATTATACCTACTTCACACATTCTGTGGGATTAAATGAGCTCATCTGTATGAAGTCACTGGCAGGCCACCTGCAGCATCCCACCCTTAGTCAATGTTGAGACCCTGCTTTCCATTCCCTAAGTGGTCCATGCTCAGGGGCACCTCTGCTCAGTCTTCACCCTAGAAGCAGCGAAGATCACCTGTATTCTGGAATGACTCTCAATTACTTGCTAACTTTAGAAAATCATTCAGACTTGCTAAGCCTCCCTTCTCTGATCTCCCCACCCCCACAAACACCCTTGGAAGGGAGAGGTGTCCATTGTGGGGTTCACAGCTGGGGAACTAGCCTGGAGATGGCCCTAATTTGAAACTCAATCTCCCCAGTAAGAGCCAAGCCCCAACACATGATGTGACCTTGTGTTAGACCCTCACTCTGCTTGGGCCTCAGTTTCTTCACCTCTAAGTGAGGATTTGGGTTAGAATCTCCTAAAATCCCTACAGACCTGAGACTGTGGATGACGTTGTCGCAAGTGCACAACTTCCCAGATATGCTACGGCACTAAGCCCATTAAGAATCTTACCCCTTCATAGATGGAAGCGTCCCCAGGAAGGCCTAGGGGACCCCGTGGGGGTGGAGGTTGAGGCCTTTACCAAACCTTGGAGACAGTGGGGACGAGGCCAGGAGGTACAAAGCCCTGGCTCAGAAGCACAGGAACGGGCCTGAATCCCCAATAGACTTTTTACTCCTAAATCCTCATCTTCCCCAATATTCTCCTCCATTTTCCTAATCTAAAGTGACCTTCACTGAGTAGGGCCTCTGTGGCTGTGGGCATTTGTATTTGCTGTGACTGCACTAGGGTTCAGCTCTGAAGGGAGGCACAGACACCCGGTATTCTGCTGCGGCGCCCCTACAAGGCCCCACAGCGCCTGAGGGAGGCTCTCTGTCCTGGTGGTTGCAGGAGGCCCCACACATGACTTCCTGCTTCGCTGCCCCAAGCCAAGCCCCAGGAACAGTGGTGGGAGGAGGGTCCTTCCTGTCCCTGCTTCCCCACCGGATAGTTCAGCGAGCACTGCGTCCCGGCCTGACCCCACAGCCTGTCCTCAGCCCCTCCGAGCGCCGCCCGGCTCACCGCCCTGGGCTGCTCTCTCCCAGCACCTCGGCCAGGCGCAGCCTCTTCTTCCCAAGCGTCTGAGCACAGACGCAGAGCCAGGGCAAGACTGACCCGCCAGCATCCTCCCCGCCGGGCAACGACCAAGGGCCCCCAAAAGGAAACGTGGGCTTATAGGGGCAGGAGAATTTGTGTCCGACGCAACAGACAAGGTTGCACCACCCTGAGCCTTAGCCCGGCCTCAGGAAAGAGCACCAGAGGGCCACCAGGGAGCAGAGGCAGCCTCCGCCCGGGTCCCCATCCTGGCTCAGCAGGTTCAGTTCTGCACCCAAATGCCCTTCGGCCGCATTTCATCGTCTCACCCAGTTTTCTCTCCACCCAGGGCCAGAGCTAGGACGCTGAGGGGGACAGAGACAGGGCTTGAGGCCACTCTGGGGCACAGCGGGCTCTCTGGCCCCTGCTCAGCAGGGCCATCCTCCCAGGGCACTTCCAGAGGGAAGGAGGGAACCCCAGCCCTCGGGGCAACACCTGGCCGCTCCTGCCTGGCGGGTGGTTGACATCTTCATAAACTGTCAGCGATGCCTCTGGGCCAGACTCTGGGGGGAGGGAAGCAAAGAGCAGAGCTACAGAGTCCTCCTGGCGGAACCGGGCCAGTCGCCTGCTCCCGCATCCCACCCTCATCCCAGGTGGCAAGACCTTGAGGAAGGTTCTAGAAGGGAGGATGGCTTGAGCTCGTCCAAGGAGACTCAGGGAGCTCAGGGCAGCACCCGCCTGACAGTTTCCCCAAACCAGCCCCAGCCAGTGAAGCTGCTGTTAGGGATCAGACGGGGCCCATCGGGGCCCAGGAGCGAGACCTGGGAGCAGCCTGGTGCGGGGAGGCGGGCCAGGCAGCGTGTCCTAGGACCCTCCACTTACCTGCCGGCTTCCTCCCCCTTCTCCACACACAGACGCTAGTGAGGGTGCCCAGCAGCGTGAGTTTGAGAACCAAGATGATCATCAAGAGGGGCAGGAGGCCGAGCTCTGAGGGAGACGAGACATGGGCGTGGACTCACCTTCTCCCTCCCTGCCCGCCTGCTGCAGTGGCTGCTCCACCCCCACTCGCTGGGGTGGCTGCTCTCACACCCTGTGCATTCAGGTCAGAGGTGTCTCCCGCTCAACTAGGAGGCCGCCCAGTGACACTAAGAGCAGGGGACGTAGGACCAGATGCTAACGCTACGCTCTGTGCCCTTGGCAAGCTCCTTAGACTCTCTGGGCCTGTTTTCTCACTTACAGGAAGGAGTCAGTGTATCCACACAGCAAGTTAAGAGCATCTGACAGATGCCAAGCTCAGCAACTGTTACACAGGAACATTCCTGTGTTTTAACCCAACAAACATGTCTGCTCTGGGCCAGGCCACCTCTGTCCCGCCTTCTGCGACCTCTGCCCTTCCTGCGTGGACTTCTGCGTCAGGGCCTGTCACACACACAGCCGCAGCCGCAGCCGCAGCCAAGGTAAGTGCCGCGGGCGAGCAGCGCAGGGAAAGGAGGGAAGTGCCCCAGATGCTGCTGGCGAGGCTCCTCGCAGACATCACCCACTTCCCTGAGCAGCAGCTCTGCCAGGTGCTTAGTAGGAGCTTCCCATTGTGCCCGGGAGACTGTCTGGACTCAGAGAGGTGATGACCTGCCTGAGGTCACAGAGCTTGTGAGAGACCCGGCCTGGCTGGCCACACGCTGCATGACAGCAGGGCTGAATCACCTGGAGTGGCCAGGGCATTTCCCCACCTGAAAAGGAAGCATTAAATTGATTGTTTGCTGCCAGATAGCTCAGGGCATCTTAATCTACATGTTATTGCCTCCTACTGGCCAAACACCTGAACAGCCATAGGCGATTCTTCCAATCTGACAATGGACTCTGTATATGAACCCTGACCCTTTGAAGTGTATATCTGCCTCCTCTCAGGACAATTTGTGTTAATAAAAAGCATGGGGCCCTGAGACGAGGAGATCTTAGTTTCTTTAGCTGGGCTCCTCTGACCCCCAAATGCCTTTCAAAATTATGCTTCGTCTCTGGACTCTTGATTAAGCTACGCACAGCCCTTCTCCAGATTGCTGAACCTTCTAGACGCCGGAACGAGAGCCCCGGCCCCGCCTTCAGTTGCTTGTTTCCCTTCGCGGTGGGAGCTTATGTTGTTGTCCCTGTTAGGCTATGAGGCCTTTGAAGACAGGGCCACAGGAGGTGCTGCCCACGCGGACGCACATTAGGTCTTTATCTGAGAAAAGGGGTGCAAAGTGGGCTCCGGGTAACCCTCGGAGAAGCACAGCAATGAGCAGTGCCTCCGCCAGGTGCCCGTCCGATGCTGCCACGACCCAGGGCTGCTCTGGGACCACAGGGCTTGGGGAGGTGCCCCCTGAGAGGAGGAAGCAGGTCCCCGACAGCCTCAGAAGAAAACAACTCACAGCCAGGCTGGGCTGTCACTCACCAGACAACGAGGCATTTCCTATGGAAGGAAGATGCTGTCTTCCCGGAGGTTCTGATGGGGACAGAATTCCTCCCAGCCTCACACCGGCCTGGCTGCCCAGGACCTGTGTGCCTAGAGGCCAGGACCCTGGAGAAGGGCTCCAAGCCCAGGGGTGTCCTCCCGTCTCCTGCTCCTGAGCCTGGCGATGGCCCAGCACCCTCCGCCCTGTCCCGCCCCAAGCGCTGCACTCACTCTGGGGGGCGCTCCCACAGCCCTGGCCGAGCTGGAGGCTCTGGTGCGCCCAGCTGACGGGGTTGCTGACGTTGCAGGTGTATATGTGCCCGCCGTTGACATCGACCTGCTCCTCCAGTCGGAAGGGGCTCCTGGGCGTCGGGATCCTCTCGCCCCCTCGGTACCAGGTGTAGGTCACATCGCCACCTCCGGAGGCCGAGCAGTTCAGGGTCACTCGGCACTGTCCACTGCCCAGGGCCGCCGTCTGCTCCAGCAGCTGCAGCTCGGGCTTCCTCACAGGGTCTGGAAGCAGAGGTTCTGATCAGGAAGGCGCTTCAAGCACCAGCCTGCGCGCCGGGAGGGGCACTCACCCAACACGGACACGTGGAAGCGGTGGGTCCTGACGGTGCCGTTCTCAAAGGTGACCTCCAAGGAGTAGGTGCCGCTGTCGTTGGGCTGAGCGGCCTTGAGGAGGAGCCTTAACTCCTTGATGCTAAAATTGAGCCTATTGTTGCAGTTACTGGCATTCCGATGCGCATGATGCAGCCTAGAATCATTCTTCCAAGTGAACAGCACACAAGGGCTTGGGTTTGAGCGCAGCCGTACCTTCCAGTCAAAAGACCTCACCGCTGTCAGGGTGTGGCCGGGCCCTAAGCAGAAAGACGTGCCCAAAGGTCTCACCACAGGTCCATCCGGAGACAGGGGTTCCGGGCAAGAGGAAGCGGCTGCGGGCAGGAAGGGCGCCAGGCCTCAGCATGGGGGCAGCTGGACGCTACGAGGGGCCCAGAGCCTGAACCTGAGAGCACATATCCTCATGGGCACCCCTCCTCCCCGAGCTCGGAAGGCGCCCACAGCCCCTCATGAGAGTGAACGTTTCGAGTTCTCACCATGGCGCAGGCAGGTGATAAACTCTCTGCATGTGTTAACAATTGCACTTCACAGTGGCCCTACAAGGTTCTCATCCCCATCTTACAAGCGAGGAAACAGATTTAGAAAGAACTTAAAAGTCACGACCCCTAATTATACAGTGAGAAAAACGAGCTTACAACCCACTCAATTTCATTTTAAACAGCGGTTCTCAACCTGTGGGTCGCGACCCCTTTGGGGTTCGAACGACCCTTTCACAGGGGCCGCCTAAGACCATCAGAAAACACACATTTAATTACATATTGTTTTTGTGATTAATCACTATGCTTTAATTATGTTCAATTTGTAACAATGAAACTGGGGGTCACCTCAACATGAGGAACTGTATTAAAGGGTCGCGGCATTAGGAAGTTGAGAACCACTTCATTAGAAGGTGAATTGTAATATATTTTTATTGATTTCAGAGAGGAAGGGAGAGAGAGATAGAAACATCCATGATGAGCAAGAATCATTGGTCGTCTGCCTTCTGCCCACCCCCTACTGGGTATGGAGCCTGCAACCCAGGCATGTGCCCTTGTTCTGCAGGCCAACACTCCATCCACTGAGCCAAACCAGCTAGTGCTGGAGGGTGAATTCTTAACTACAACACTCTTCAGAGGCCCTCAGACTTTTTAAACGGGGCCAGTTCCCTGTCCCTCAGACATTCCACACGTGCGCACTGCGGGCCGGGATGAGTCGGCTGCTAAGCAGGACAGGCGGCGGCGGCAGAAACACCCGGCGGGCCGGATAAATGTTTTCGGCGGGCCGCATGTGGCCCGCGGGCCGGATAAATGTTTTCGGCGGGCCTCATGTGGCCCGCGGGCCGTAGTTTGAGGACCCCTGCTCTCAATAAACATCCTATCTGATGTGACATCCCCCTGCAGCACTGAGGTGACCATTGGTGGCCAGCGGTGACCACTACACGTTCTGAAGAGTCAGACCAAGTAAGACGAACACTCCACACTGAATTCCCAGCGCCCTCCTCTGCCCTCCTATAGAGCTGGGCTCCTACCCACCCTGGAGAACTTGGCGCAACAAACAGGTCATTCTTTATTCGTGGTTCCAGGTTTTCAGTCACCAGAAGGTCTCCACAGTATTGCTCCGTAGAAACAAAATTGAAAGGCAAGAAGAAAAATACGCTGCCTGGTCCCTCCCAGCACCTCCTGCCCGGCCCCTCCCAGGCCTGCTGCCCGGCCCCTCCCAGGCCTGCTGCCCGGTCCCTCCCAGCACCTCCTGCCCGGTCCCTCCCAGGCCTGCTGCCCGGTCCCTCCCTCCCAGGCCTGCTGCCCGGTCCCTCCCCCCCAGCACCTCCTGCCCGGCCCCTCCCTCCCAGGCCTCCTGCCTGGTTTAGGGTGGGAGCTGTTGCACAGGATGGTGCCCCTGCCCTCACAGAGCAGCCAGCGGCAGGGAAGAGAAGGGGCTGACCCTGTGGTCATTTGGGGCAGGAGAGCTGCAAGGCATCGCCAATGAAGCAGGAAAACCAGCCTGTCTGGGTGGGCTGGGGAGGGTCAAAGAGAATTTGGAGGAGATTAGGAGATGGGATATTGATACAAACAGACCTGTTAAAATGAGGCTATTGAGACAGAGCGATGGGGGGAGGGGTTTGGATGTCCATATGTGTTATAAGCACTCACTCGGCCACACCTTCACCCCAGCATTCTCGCCAGACACTGACCAAATAATTAAAGGGCTTGGCTGGGCCACATGTCCGTCTCCGTGGTCCTCAGACTCTTACACCTGAGAGCAGGCCAGCACGCCAAGGCCCAGGGAATGGAAAGTCATGAGTAAGCCTACAGAAAGGGCCTCGGGCGCTCCGTCCGCACTGCCCCCACTGGAGCCAGAGCCCGGAGGAGCCCGGACCTCCTCCTGTGTAAGCACGTTCCTGACCCCAGAATCCGGGATCTGGGACCAGATCCTACTTTTAATTCCACAGCATCCGCTTAGTGCCTGAGGAAGTAATCACCTGAGGAATTTTAATTCTGATCATGGAAGACCAGGTAGACACATGCTAACCAATGCTCCCACTAAGAATAACTAAGAAAAAATGGGCGAAATGTAAGAGCATGTTGTTAAAGGCATCAGGGAGCTAATAAAATGGTGAAAATAATTTTTTATAAGAAAGCGTTTTTGGGCCAGACCTCTGAGCCCAGAGGGTCAGAGGGAGACCGCATGGCAGACAGCCGAGTCTCTTGGGACAGGCACAGCCCCTGACTGGGGAAAGGAGATCCTCGGGATTGCTGGCGCCGGGGGATTTGAGGTCTGGGTTCTGTGATTACGGAGGCATCAGGGAGCTAATAAAATGGTGAAAAAAAATTTTTTATAAGAAAGCGTTTTTGGGTTTTAGATGGTAAGACACACTTTGGCATAGCTTTCTTTGTTTAAAAAAATATATTTATTTTATTGATTTCAGAGAGGAAGGGCGAGGGAGAGAGAGCTAGAAACATCAATGATGAGAGAGAAACATTGATTGGCTGCTTCCTGCACGTGTCCTCCCCCGCTCCCCCCTGCCCCCTCCCTGGGGACCAAGCCTGAAACTGGGCATGTGCCCTTGGCTGGAATTGAACCCAGGACCCTTCAGTCCGCAGGCCGATGTTCTATCCATTTAGCCACACCAGCCAGAGCAAAACAAAACAAAAACAAAAATGGTGAAATATTAAGGGCCAGAATGGGAAAGAAGGAAATTCAGAGGGTTAGCGGTTTTCCGTTGCTCCCTGGAGGCATCTTCTGATTCCATAAAAGCAGCGGAAAGGCTGAGCAGCTCAGCAGAGTTTACAAGCAACTCAAGGAACCAAGAGAGCACGGAGCTCAGGAGCCGCCGTCAGAAAGGAGGTGCAGGTGCCTCACCCACAGGCTCGGGGTTGGTGCCAGGAATGCGTACACACTGAGAATCAAGAGTGAACAAGAGGGAATGAGGACACATTTGTAATTCCTTAACTAATAAAGAATTTAAAGATTTAAAAAAACAAATAAATAAATAAAAATAAAAAAATAAAGAGTGAACAAGAACCCCCCCAGACAGCGGCACCCCCTCACCCCAAGGTTGTGGGTTCGATCCCCAGTCAACCAGTGAATGCGTCACTAAGTGCAGCAGCAAACTGGTTTCTCTCTCTTTCCCTGCCTCTCTCTCTCCCTCTAAATGAGTAAGTAAAAACATTTTTAAAGAGGGAACAAGAAACCGGCCAGCTCTCACAGGCTCAGACCCAGGCTGGAATCGCGTGCACCCTGACTTGGATCACAGTGTTCCAGAATCTCTCCTATTTCCAACCCGGCTGGCTACTCGAGGCAGCTAGAAGTTATTCCTGGAGGAAAATGCCATAAACCAGAGCATTAAATTACTTCTAGATGTTTTCATATATGCTGCCCAAAATGAAACAAAACAAACAAACAAAAGAAACGGGCCCAACAAGAGGAAACACATCCCAACATCGAAAGAGAACAGCCACAGAGACAGGCCCAGGGGCCTCTGGGTAAGGGAGGAATCGGCTGTAAGTTTAAAGTAATGATGTTTCTCAGGTTCGGGGGACGAAAGGGTAAGTTTGAGAATTCCAGCATGAACTACTGCGGCAGATGCAGACGGCCATTCCCTTGGCAATCCTCCTTTGCAGATGCTTCCGAAACTGGCCCTTTTTAAGCCGATTTTAGAGAGGGAGGGCGAGGGAGACAGAACCGTCCCTGCCGAGAAGCCCGACGGGCCGCCTCGGGCACGCTCCCGGCTGGGGATGAGCCCAGCACGTGCCCTGACTGTGCCTCCGGGTCCTGGGCGGGTGCTCACCACTGAGCCGCACAGCCAGGCCCGGGCCTTTGGCAAAACGCGCCGCAGAAACGACCCGGGACGCTCCCGCCCGTCGGCCCGGGAGCAGCGAGGCGGGCGGAGGCAGGGGCGCCCCGGCGGCTTCTGATCGCGGGGAAACGGAGGGAGTGGGAAGCGGGTGGAGGAACCGGCGGGGCAGGTGGCGGCGGCGCCGGGAGGGCAGGAGCGAGGGCGGGGGACGGGAGGGCGGGGGGCGGCCCCGAGGCCTCGCTGGCCGCGACGTGGGGACCCGGCGGCGGTGGGCGGAGCCCGCCTGGAGGAGGGCGGAGGCTGGGGACGCGCCGGGGGCACCGGGCCTGTGGAGCCACCGCTTAGGAAAGTGGGTCCGGCGCGAGGGTCCCGAGGCCTCAAACTTGGAGCTGCTTTTTGTTGTTGCGTTTTGTTCTGCGGCCTCCGCCGCCGGCGCGGGAGGGAGGCAGGCGGGAGGGAGGCAGGCGGGAGGGGGGGAGGCGGGAGCGGGGGAGGCGGGGGAGGGGGGAGGCGGGGGAAGGGCCCCCCCCCCAAGGCCTCGGACCCCGCAGCCGGGAGTCGCTCTGGACGAGGGCGGGGGGCGCAGGGGCCTCGGAGAGGGGAACTTCCACCAGCGACAGAGGACGCTGAGGTTCCCCAGCTCAGGGCTGGAGCGGGCGGCCCGGAGGCGGCTGCGGGTCTGCGGAGCCTGAGACTCAGATGCCGGCGCAGGACCGTCCCGCAAAGCCCCACGGCGGGTCCCGCGCCCCACCCCCCAGGCCCCGCGCGCACCCGCACCCGCCGCGCGCAGGCCTCTCTCCCAGGGCAGCCCAGACCTCCAGCCTCACCTGCATCCTGTCACTCACACCGTCTCTCCAAGAAAAGGAGGGCGGCGCCTTGCGGGTGCCAGTCACCGCGTGCGCCCCACTCTGTCCAGGCTGCTCGGGGCTAGCACTGTCCTGCTCCCTCCTCCCGAACTCCTCTTCATCCTGCAAGGCCCTTCCCCGGGGTCTGCACCAACAGGAAGCTCCATTTTCTCAGGCCTTTCTTCTCTAAGCACAGCTTGCCTCTGAGCAACCCTCAGCATTTTCTGTCTCTCCTTGTTTTACATGACTCTTCCTCTAACAATCGGGAAGATTCTTAAGGATAGAATCCACATCTGTTTCATCTTTTTCCCTCACAAAATCTTGCATGTCTTGGAACATAACAAGGGCTTAATGGAGCTGTTTAATTAATTACCTAACTGCTAAAATTCCCAAATCTACCTCAGTTAACTCCCAGAAATGACTCACGTAGCACGCACAAAAGGCTCACAGAAGCATTACACAGAAAACCCGGGCGCGACGCAGCGTCCGCAATGGCAGAATGGGTGAATGAACTATCATATAGTCAGACAATGAAATCTCAATCGGCCATGAAATGATCAGCTACACACAGGACCATCTCATCAGATGTGGAGCAAAAGAGGCCAAACACAAGAGTACCTGCTGTCCCCATTCACGGGGAACTGGCCAAGGATGCCGGGGTGTGTGGGGGGGCGGGGGGGGGGGGATTGGGTCTGGAAAGGGGGGAAGAAACGCGGGAGGAAACGCGTCCGCCCGGGGCTCTGTTCCCCGAACGGTGTCCTCTGTGCCGGTCACACTGCGGTGGGCAAGGTGTGGTGCTGAAACTGCTCAGCCGGCCCTACGGTGATTTCTGCAGGTCTGGCTCCTTCCAGCGGGTCCAGCGCCCCTGCGCCAGGCGCTCTCCTGAGCCCCGCAGGCCCCACTCACTGTGAGGAAGAGAAGAGCTTGCCGGGCACCCTGCAGCCAGGCGATTCCTCCTGGGAAGTGGTTGTGGCCGCAGCCCTTCAGCTGACCCGCAGGTGCTGCCCGCCCCCCCGCCCCCCCCCCCATTTGTTCGCAGCCTCCAGTATGTCCTGTGGGGTTTCCTCGGAATCACAGCCAAAACCGGAGTTTAGGGTCCAAAGTGAACTTGAGGACAGGCCCCTCCTGTGGGCAGGGATCTGAAGGCCCCCCTCCCCCCACTCACCTGACCCACACTCATCCCGCTCTGCCTCTGAGCTGCTTGAAAAGAATTCACCTCTTCAGTCGGCGTGCCTTAGCCCCTGCGTGTTTCGCACTAACCACCCTGTAGCCATGTGAGAGGAAGACCGTGGAACCCAGGGTCTCAGACAGCTGTTCAAAACACGTCCAGGGAAGGAGTGGGAATGGAGAGGGAGATGTTGCCGAGAAAACAATTAAAATATTTCACAATATGATGCAATAATACAACTAAATGTCTCCTAAGGGAAATACATGCTTCCTTAAGGGAAAAGTGTTGAGGTCTCCCTACATTCCTGGTCCTACATTCCTGGTTACGATTATGAGAGACCTCAGCCAAGAGCCACACGGTGCAGGTTTATCATCATCGCAAGACTTTCTTACTTTCCATTCAGTTAAGTGGTGGAGGAAGGGCTGCTGCGCAGTCTCTCTGGACTCTGTTAGGGGCCTCAGTGCCCGGCCGCCCGGCCTCCACGGGCGCGCCGGGCTGGGGGCCTGGCTTCCCAGCACTTGGGTCTGGGCCCCCTGCTCCGGGCCTCGCCGCCCCAGGGAGCGGGCACCACTGCTGTCCCCACTCGACACACGAGAGACGAGGAAGCAGGAGGCAAGTCCCCGTCCTCACGGCCACAGAAGCGCAACTCGCACTTGGCTCGTTCACTCTGGTTCCGAGAGTCTGCGCAGGACAGACAGAGGCCTGGCCTCAGACCTGCGCCCCGGAGCACAGAGCAGCCTGGGAGACAAAATAAGTAGGTGATCGGGGGAGGTGAGCAATGGAGGCTGCGCTGCAGACAGTGAGCCCAGAGCGGGAGGGCCTCGCGCGGCAGGGAGGGCGTTTCTGGGGAAGGAAGACCTCACTGGGAGGCGGGGTTCGAGCGGAACCCTGAGGGGTGGCGGGGAGGAGCCTGCAGGCCGGCCTGGCTGCAAGGCCATGAGCAGCAGAGGCGGGCAGAGCCCGCAGACCACGGGGTGCAGCCTGCGGAAGACGGCAGCGCTGGAGAGCGAGTTTCCCGCACGTGTCATTAAATTCCCCAGGAACCCAAGTTGTTAAGAAAACGTTTCACTGTCATCGTGTCTCCTGAGGGGATGAAATGAAACAAACCAACCCACCCAGGCCCTGCCCGGTGGCTCAGTGGTTACAGCGTTGTCCCGAGCACCAAAGGGTCGCCAGTTCGGTTCTGGGTCCAGGGCACATTCCTGGGTTGCAGTTTCAGTCACTAGCCCTGGGGCGTGTGTGGGAGGCACCAATCAACGTGCCCCTCTCACATCAGTGTCTCTCTCTCAAATCGCCCCCCCCCCCCGCCTTCCCCCCTAAAGAAGTCAGTGGAAAACATCCTCGGGTGAGGATTAAACACAAAAACAGAAAGCCAGCATCGCGTTGACGGCATTCTTGCCAAAGGCGTTGACCCGAACCACACGAGGAAACAGCCGACCAAGCAGATGAGGAGCCTCAAGCATCTGATTGTCCCTCCATGGCCTGCGAGGAGCGGGAGCGCGGGGCGCGCTGCAGAGGACGAGCCGGTGGATGGAGCGCCCAGTCCGCCCGGTGGCGGCAGGGAACTGCCATGGCCTCGGCGCTGCTGGCATAACGAGCAGCATTTGCGAGTGGACTGTGTATTCGATGGGATCAGTATCAGGTTTTCTAAATGTGATCGTTGTGATGAAGTCATATGATAGGAAATATTCCTGTTCTTAAAAGATGTGGACCAAAACATTTAGGAGTGAAGGGGCATCACTCTCAAATGGTTCAACAAAAACCATTACCAGCAAACATTTCTATGCACCTGCATCATGTGGAGAGAAGAGGGACCCAAGCGAAGGAGAGTAAATGTAACTGGTGAGTCCAGGTGAAGAAATATATACAAGCATTTTCTTACAATTGCTCTGGAACTCCGAAATTTTTTCAAACTAAACATTTAAAGATTAAAAACAAGAGTGGTTTCCGTCAGCCTACCCAGGCCAGCCCTGCAGGACACTGCGAGCGGTTTCCTCAGACCGAGCCCATCGCCCCCACCCCGCACCCAGCGCCACCCGCCGGGGCTGTCTGCAGGGCCGGCAGCTGAAGGAGAGCTCGCCCCATCGCAGTCTCATCATCTCATCTTGGCCTCGACCTTCTATCCCCAAAGCCAGGCTCCTGACCCCTCAGCCCGACCTCAGCCTTCTCACAGGCCCCGGACACACACTCCTGGGCCTCAGTTTCCTCCCTTCATGCCCAGTGTGCCCCTCCCGCACCCGCCCACAATGCCCTGGAGGATTAGTCAACCTGGAATGCCTCCAAGTCTCCAAAGGGGGCTGCCTGCAGCTGAGACCACTGAATGCAGCGGCCTGGTCCCCTCAGGCTTCCAGCTGCTTCTCTGTGCAGCTTCTCAGTGGCAGCACGTTCTCCCCCTTCGGGCGCCTGTGGCCTGGGTGCTGCCAGCGGGGCCAGGCCACCAGGCAGAGGACACCTGGGCACCAGCTTTCCTGCCTCAGGGACAATCTGTGGTCTCTGACCCCCAGAACCACTCGCTTCCTGGTGGAAACCCACGCCCAGGGCCCCTCTCCTTTCTGCTGCTAATAGCACCCAATTAGAGGCTATTTCCTTGGCCCTCCTCGCAGCCAGGAAGGACACCCTCCCACCACACAGAAGTCAACTAAGCCTGAGGCTGTGCCCACCACCCTCCACCAGCCTGTCCCCCGTCAGGTGCTCAGCCCAGTTCCAAATGATCCTGGCGAGCCACACCACCCAGAGGGGGCAGGATCTGACGCCCATGGGCCTGGCCGCTAGTCCATGCAGCACCACCACCCCCGCCCCCCCCCCCGTCCCCCTCGCCCCCCATCCCCCCACCCCCCGCACCCCCGTCCCCCCCTTCCCCTACATGCAGATGGGGCCTCACCTGGGCTGTGCCGTCCCTGCAGGAACAGGACTAGGAAGGCGAGAGCTGGCCCCAGCATCTCCACAGGCAGGTGGCCGGGCGGCTCCGTCTGCAGGCGCCCTGTGCACAGGCCCCACAGCCTCCAGTCGGGGGGCCGAGAGCACGGCCCGCTGCTGGTCTGGCCACAGTTTCCTCACCCAGAGGCTTCCTCGTTGACTGAGAGCTAACGAGGCTGCTGAAAAAGCCACAGTCCCTCGCCTGGGTGACAGTTCCCACCAATTAAACTGGCCAAGTTTGCCTCAAGTGGGTGGGGTTCACAGTGACTCACACCAGTGAACAATCTTGCCCTTCGCTCTCCCCAGCCCAGCAGCTTTGTGCACAGGCAGAGCCAAGAACTTGTCCAGCTCTCATCTCACTGCCATGGAGACCTACATGGGGCCACACGCCTTCATCCTAGACGTCCCTCCCAACACTGTGGGGGTGGAGGGGTGTGGGAAGCCGCCTATTGTCTTCACTAGCAGAGAGGTGTGGACAAGGAACCCGAAAGGCTGGAGACCCTTGAAGCCCTGGCAAATGTCAGGGCTGTGCATCCACTGTTAGTCCAGACAATGGTAGCTGAAGCAACTTCCCCATTTATTATGTAAATCCTTGCTGATGGGCTAGTCTGCCTGTTTCTGGAAATTGCCTGCCTAAGGGCTATGGGTGTATCCCAAACCAATAAAAGGTTGGTGAGGCCTGAGCACCAGGGGAAGTCCTTCCCCTTGAGTTGGACTTGCCCGCCTGGCCCCCCAGTATTTCCAAATTATTATTTCTTGTCTTGTCTCTTTCATTTGCGTGCGGCCCTCTTCCAGATCCTGAACCCTGAACCACACGGGACGTGGGGGGAAACATTTACACAAGGGGAGAGTGTGGCTGAGAGTGGAGCCCTTTGGTAGGTGGGGGTATGGGAAGGAGTTGGTGCTAGAAAACCCTATAGGCCTGGGCGTTCTCTGCAAGTTCACGTCCGCCATTAACGCTGCAAACTGAAGCGCTTTCTGAAGAAGCTGCTGTGGCTCCAGGTCCCTGCCTGTCTGCCCACATGCCCTCCCTGCCTTTCCCACTTTCCCCTGGTCGTTCTCTTCCTTCCCTACCTTCGCACACACAGGGCCTGACCCCTTTCCCGTCACCAGGGAGGGTGAAGGCAGGGACTTTCCCTTTCTTCTGCTTTCCTGTCATAGCAAACACTTCCAGTTCCCCTCAGGCCAGCCCCTCTCATTTTCCATCCTGTGACCCACTTCCAGCCCTGAGTCTGAAGCTGGGCTGAGGGCACACGGAGACGGGGCCATGAAGGTGGTGGTGCTCTGAACGGAGGACTGCATGTGGGGTCAAGGTGCAGACTTGGCTTAGGGAAGCTTCCCAAAGCTCGTGTCCCCAGGGACGGTGTTTCCGTAGCCTTGGTGGAGGCGGTGTGGTGAGCGGCCTTCAGAACCCAGGCTCAAAGCCGTCCACCTGGGGTGGCTGCACTCCCAGCTGTGACCTACAGGGAGTGCCAGCCTCTGTGCCTCCTGTCCTCACCTGGAAACGGGGACAGTAACACCTTCTCTTAGGTGTGAGGATTCAGTAAGTTCATGCATGTAGAGCATCTATTCTAGAACAACCCACAGCATTTACGAGAACTCCAGGCCAAAGATTACTATGTACGCACCATGTAACCTGCCCTCGAACCAGAACCACTTCCTTACATCAGCTCCTCTGCAGCTCTACCAGGAACAATACAGGCCATTTTCCACCCACACCTGCTTACCTTAACCTCTAAAGCAGCAGTTCTCAACCTGTGGGTCTCGACCCCTTTGGGGATCATACGATCCTTTCACAGGGGTTGCCTAAGACCATTGGAAAACACGTATATAATTACATATTGTTTTTGTGATTAATCAATATGCTTTAATTATGTTCAATTTGTAACAATGAAAATAAATCCTGCAGGAGAAAACCAAGATGGCGGCATAGGTAAACACCGGAGTTTGCTGCCTCGCACAACCACTTCAAAAATACAACTAAAAGATGGAATGGACATCATCCAGAACCACAGGAAGGCTGGCTGAGTGGAAATTCTACAACTAGAAGGAAAGAGAAAAGCACACTGAGACTCAGAGGAGGTGCGGTGCAGAAGTAAAATACAGAAGTACCTGTTAAGCCCAGATTTCAGGATCCCCAATAGACCACCAGGGAGCCAGCCGAGTCCGATGCAAAAGCAAATAGAGTCTTTATTCGTGCTAGATCGAGCTCCCCGACCACACTTGCCGACGCAGCGGCGGGGGGGGGGGGAAGAGAGCTAGCTCTGTGGGAAGAGGGGTTTTATAGGGGGGTTGGAGTAAGGGGAGGAGGAGAGAGGACTGTGGGCCCTGCCGATTGGCCAGGTGCAAGTCTGGGTCTCGTTACAAAGGATATGGTTGTGCCTATGGTGTGCACTTCCCTTGATTGTCATTGGTTAGTTTCTAGCAGAGGCTTGGGCTTCCGGGAAGAAGATCCTTGCTGAGCACATGGCTAATGGCTGCTGCCCAAAAATGGAGGATCTGGGGTAAGATGGAGGGCGTAGCCCTCGCCCTTTCAGTACAGAGGCACATGCGGAGAGAGCTGGCGGCTGAGGACACGTTGTCTTTTTCAATTGGGAGGGAGTCTCAAGCTCTGAGCTCCAGGTCCAGGTGAGTCTCTGGGGACCCAGACTCATACGGGAGAAACTGGACTGTCTGGCATCGGTTGGAACTCCAGGGCAGCTTTCTCTCGGGGTTGCTTGCAGCAATTGCCGGGACACTGAGAAGCAGGACCTCTGAGGGCAGGACTGAGAGCAGCCATGACTGCTCGCTCCGCCCTGTTGATCCCCTGGGACCCACCCCACCCAAGGTGTGCACAGAGGCTTTTGCATATGAAAGGCCTGGCCCTTTGCAATCTGATAATTACCTAACAAACTGCAGCTGGCCCAAGGCCCCAGGGCAACTTGCATTGCTTCACAGCTGGCTCCTGCTGGGTAGCCTCAGGCAAAGACTAGATTAGCACCTCCTTAGAGATCCAGGAGCCAGTGTGCTCGGTGGTCAGAGTGGGACCATCCAGATTGCAGCTCTTCGGATCCATAAAGGACACACTCAGGGGGAAGACTCAGTGAGCACCAAAGCCCCACAGAAGCAAGTCTTGCCCCGGAGGGGTGTCTCCAGCACAGAAGTTCTCCCACTGTAGACATAGCTGATTTTCACAGCCAATTGGCCTGGAGGTCAATCCCTCCCAGTGTTACCTACAACAATCAAGGCTTAACTACAACAAGACTGTGCACAAAGCCCACAAGGGGGTGCACCAAGAGTGTCTACCTCAGGTAATTGGGGAGGCTGAGCCACTGGGTCCTATAGGACACCTAGCACAGAAAGCCACTCTATCGACACAGCGAGCATAAAAAAATGCGGAGACAAAGAAATAGGACACAAATGACAGAAATGGAGGAAAGCAAACTACTGGATATAGAGTTCAAAACCACACTTTTAAGGTTTTTCAAGAATTTTCTAGAAACCGCCAATAAACTTAATGAGACCCTCAAGAAATCTAATGAGACCCTTGAGGCTGTGATAAAGGACCAACTAGAAATTAAGCATACACTGACTGAAATAAAGAATATTATACAGAATCCCAACAGCAGACTAGAGGATCGCAAGAATCAAGTCAAAGATTTGAAATACGAAGAAGCAAAAAACACCCAACTGGAAAAGCAAAATGAAAAAGGAATCCAAAAATACAAAGATAGTGTAAGGAGCCTTTGGGACAGCTTCAAGCGTACCAACATCAGAATTATAGGGGTGCCAGAAGAAGAGAGAGGGCAAGATATTGAAAACCTATTTGAAGAAATAATGACAGAAAACTTCCCCTACCTGGTGAAAGAAATAGACTTACAAGTCCAGGAAGCGCAGAGAACCCCAAACAAAAGGAATCCAAAGAGGACCACACCAAGACACATCATAATTAAAATGCCAAGAGCAAAAGACAAAGAGAGAATTTTAAAAGCAGCAAGAGAAAGAAACTCAGTTACCTACAAGGGAATACCCATACGACTGTCAGCTGATTTCTCAACAGAAACTTTGCAGGCCAGAAGGGAGTGGCAAGAAATATTCAAAGTGATGAATGCCAAGAACCTACAACCAAGATTACTTTATCCAGCAAAGCTATCATTCAGAATTGAAGATCAGATAAAGAGCTTCACTGATAAGAAAAACTAAAGGAGTTCATCACCACCAAATTAGTATTATATGAAATGTGAAAGGTATCCTTTAAGAAGAGGAAGAAGAAGAAAAAGGTAAAGATACAAATTTATGAACAACAAATACACATCTATCAACAAGTGAATCTAAAAATCAAGTGAATAAATAATCTGATGAACAGAATAAACTGGTGAATATAATAGAATCAGGGACATAGAAAGGGAGTGGACTGACAATTCTCAGGGGTGAAAGGGGTGGGGGAAGAGACTGGACAAAAATCGTACGCCAATGGATGAGGACAGTGGGGGGTGGGGGAGTAAGGGCAGAGGGTGGGGTGGGAACCGGGTGGAGGGGAGCTATGGGGTGAAAAAGAGGAACAACTGTAATAATCTGAACAATAAAGATTTAATTTAAAAATAAAAAAAAGAAAATACATCCTTCATATCAGATATTTACATGACAATTCATAACAGTAGCAACATTACAGTTATGAAGTAGCAACGAAAATAATTTTATGGTTGGGGTTCACCACAACATGAGGTGGGGTGGGAACTGAGTGGAGGGGAGTTATGGGGGGAAAAGAGGAACAACTGTAATAATCTGAACAATAAAGATTTAATTAAAAAAAAAAAAAAAAAAACAAATGAAAGAACTAGAGAATTCTCCAGAAGAAAAGCTAAATGAAATGGAGATCATAAATTTATCAGACAGATGAGCCGCTTCACACCGAGAATTGTGTTTCCCAGTTCGCTGCACTGTGCCACCCGGAGGGCAGCTTTCCTTTGGACACCCTGTGTTTGGGTCACTGTGAGCACGGAAGGGCCACCAGGGCCCTGACCCCAGGGACAGAACCTAAGTGCCTCTTCCTGGAAAAGCATCAGGTTCTCCTTAGGCAGGACGTCCTTCTGGGCGTGAGTCGCAATTACTCCAAAGAGAATTTGTCACCTGGCCTGGCAGCTCCCTGGGACAGGCGCCTGTGCTGGCCGCCCTCACCTTCTGCCTGCCCACCTTTCAGGACGCATCCTTCAGGAAGTGCTCAGGTCATAGAAGAACCGACTTCACCAGCAGGCAGACTCGAGCCCTGAGCCCTGAGCCCTGCGTTCGCCAAGCTCTGTGCCTGTGGACTGGTGACTCCATCTCTCAGCCTTGGGTCAGTCGCCCTGGGAAATGGGATGAAAGCATCTTCAGGCGTGAGGAGGGTCTGGGAGCCCTGTCGGCAGGGCGGGGTTGTGGCCTCTTGGATGCCTGTTGTCT